TGGGTTAGTGAAAATGAACCGCCAAGGGCCATTGTTTGTCGAAATAGATTCGAACCCAGAACATTGTTTTGTTTATTTTTTAAATCGACTGGTCCTGTTCTTATACATAGTGTACATAAAGACAAGACTATTGATCACGACTATTATATTGAAAATTGCCTGAAGCCTGTTATCAATGAAATACACAAACAAGAAAAATCAGTACGCACAAAAGGTTTCAAATTGCTTCATGATAATGATTGGCCTCATAGACATCGGGATGTTATTAATTATTTAACAGAAGAAGGTATTGAAATAATGCCACATCCACCATATTCACCAGATCTTTCGCCATGTGACTTTTGACAAACTGTTAGAAAGGATGGAACTATGTATAAATAATAATGGCGACTATTTTGAACATTTAATCAAATAAAACAAGAAATATCTTTCTTTTTATATTTTTACTTAACGTTGTCAGAATTTTCGCTCACTCCTACACTCTAAAAAATTTCCGTATCCTAGGAAACCCAAAGGGACTCGGAAACCCACTCGGGAACGGCAAATGGTTTCCGAGTGGGTTACCGAAGATTGAAAGCGTTTCTGGAAATACCCTTTGGGTTTCCGAGCGTTCGGAAACCAAAGAGTTTCCGACAATACTCAATTGAACACTCTAAAAGTATTCTAGAATACCTTTTTCTTGCTTTCGGAAACCCAATAGATTTCTCAAAAATCGGAAAGGTATTGTCGAAAACCCATATTGATAGTAGAGCTGGATTGGTACCCGAAAGGGTATGCGAAAATACCTTTTCATTTCCTAAATGGTTTCCGAGAATACTCAATGTGAAAAAGCGTATCATAGGATACCGAGATAGGTTTACCAAAATATTCAATCTAAAAAAGGGTATCATAGAATATCGAGATGGGTTTGCGAAAATATCCAATCTAAAAATGGAATCATAGGAAATCAAAATGGGTTTCCGAATTTTGTTTTAATACTTAAAAGAGTTCGTAAGGATTTCAACTTTTCTGACGTCTTCATCAATTTTGTGTTTGACATTCCAAAAACTTCGCAAAAGGATAGATGTGGATTTGAACCTTATTTTTCCATATTCTTTCTCATGCTCAGCTTTGAAGATTTTTATAAAACAGCAAAACACCGATCTAATTAGTAATTTCATATTGAATTAATCAAAATTGTTCTTGTGTGAACAGTTCCACGAAATATGAAGCCAGATCATGCTTCAGAAATAATGAAATGTTATTTGTGCATTTTAGTGTTGATCTTGTTCTTCAGAATATAAAAGAGAATACAATATTAACAGATCGGGAATAAAATAAATAAATTGGACAATTACCATAAGTCTTTTTTTCTTCCTTTTTTGCTAGAGTTTCGCTAAAGTAAGGATTAAATTGTAGCTATTGTGGATGTCAAAAATTACAGGAGGAATGAATTGCAGAAGTTTCTAGCCTTAAGTGAGAATTAAAGTTGGTTTATTTCTATAGATTATAGGCTTTCAAATCAAATGGAAAACTGCAACTTAAGTCCACATGTTAACAAATTAATGTCATTCATAAGACATATGAACAATATGTTTTCATATAACTTTCACAAGAACATAAATCATGGATCCTGATACTGTTGTCTTGTCTTCAGTCACTTTCTATCTTTGTTCTATAATCAAATAAAAAAGGATTCAATCTGTAAAGTACAAATTAATGCAATTTCTCTTATATTTAATTATGATTCCCTTTAACTTCGGTGAGTTGTGTCGTACTAATTTTGAGATTGGTCGAGGGCTAACCGACAGACGAAGTAAAATAAGGAAAACAATGGTTATTTGGTATTTTCTAATATTAATAAAATGTTATATTGAAAGAACACTGATTTCTCAATATCGAAAAGATCGTTAATCATGCTACAATCTCGTTTAGAATTCCTCCGTTAGAGAATTTTTTTAAAATCTCTAATATAATTTTACGTTTTGAAAGGGAGCCGGAATCACTTATATTTACATCGCATTCAGTAGAAACTTAGCTGAAGAACAACTTTTCTTTTTACTGTCAGAATAAGAGAAACTTAGCCACAAGGTGACTATTTAAGCGTGCTTTTGATATTTGTTCTAAATTTTATTCAACAAAAATCTTTAGAACGTCTATTTTATTACGGAATTCGATGCTATTATTGTATATGAATATAAAGATGCCTTAATACTAGAAGAAAGAATAGTTAGAAGACTTTTTTAGAGATGAATTTTAGTAGTCTACTCACGTGGAGTGCAATGAGCATATGGCGCACTACATATTTAATGAATGACTGCTTATTTCATAAGCCTTTTTCGGTTTGAATGATATCAGAGTGCTCAACTATCGAACAAAACATCAGAATAACTATGTCAGCTGATTCTCTAATTTCTGATTGCATATCTATCGAATAACGTCTCTATAATGAGTAGAAAACACTTCACTAACGATACTTTTCCCTACAAACATATTCAAAACCAAAGATTTTCTTCTACATAATCATTTTCACTTGAGCAAAATATTGATGAAACATATTATATTGATCAAAAGCTTCTACATTAATTCCTCCGCTTTATCAATCAAATCTATCTAAGTATCCGTCCCATTCTCTTCGATTTCAATAATCTAAGATCATATTAATTATGAACTCGAAAATCTGCTTCACTTCAGGAAATATAGTACCTTCATTTCATACCTCGTTCGAAAGCTTACTATTCTTATGATTTCAGTCGTGAATTCATCTCGATGAATTCTATAATTCATTCGATTTTACATGAAATGTTTTCGTTACTTACATATCTACTCATCTTAACAGGTAGATGAGTTATTTTAAATTATTTCATAAAATATTTCTAACTTATAATTTATACTTTTCAATACCATATTTCCTCTATCTATTCAGAGCGTTTATGTAATTTCATGAATACAACACTATCCCAATTTTTTTTGTTTTTTCTATCATAACATCAATCTGGAATTCGGTGAGTTCTAATCAACTAATTGAATTAAAGTATATTTTCACTTTTACTTTTGGGATTCGTTTTGTATAGCCATATATCTCGTGAGTTTATTCCAAATATTAAATTAAAATACACTTTCATTTTAATTTATCGATTTGTTTCGAATATCGAAAAAAAAGTGTGAATTAATTCAATTTATTAAATAAAAATACAATCTTTAATTTTTGTTTAGAGATTCGATCCGTTTTTATCAATATATCGGGTGAGTTTATTCCAATTACTAAATGAAAATGAAATTCTATTTTTATTTTTAGATTCGTGGAGTATCGATAGATCTAGTGAGTTTGAATCAATTTATCAAATTAAAATGAAATTTTGTTTTTATTTTTAGATTCGTTTTATGACTCAATATGTCGGGTGAGTTCATTGCAATTACTAAATAAGAATGAAAGTTCATTTTTACTTTTAGATTCGTTATCTGTCAATAGATTCAGTGAGTTTGAATCAATGTATTAAATAAAAATACCATTTTATTTTCAGTTTTTGGATTCATGCGATATCGGTAGATCCGGTAAGTTTCAATCAATTTATTAAATTAAAATAAATATTTAGTTTTATTTTTAGCTTCGTTTTATATTTCAATACATCATGCAAGTTTATTTCAATTACTAAATGAAATTGAAGTTTCACTTTTACGTCTAGATTCGTTTTATATCTCAATATATCTGGTGAGTTTACTCCAATTACTAAATGAACATGAAATTTTAATTTTATTTTTAGATTCATTTAATATCGATCGATCTGGTAAGTTTGAATCAATTTTCTAAATTAAAGCTTCATTTTTATTTTTAGACTCGTGTGATATCGATAGATCTGGTGAGTTGGAAAACATTCTTTAAATTAAAAAACAGTTGAGTTTTTATTTGTAGATTCATTTTATATCGTAGTATATCTGGAGCGTCTGTTCAAATTATTGTACGAAGATGAAATTTTATTTTCATCCTTAGACTTGTTGTCTCTCAAAAGGCCGGGTGAATTTGAATCAATTTAGTAAATTAAAATATAATTTTCATTTTATTTTTAGATGATTATCGTAGGGAAACGTTTGATGAGCTATGACATTCGCTCATTAACTACTTTGGTTGAATTGTGTTTTACGTGTGAATGGGTGTTTATTAGTTTGGATGGGTTTGGATGTGAAGAAAACCGGTGAGTTTAGATGATTTTTCGACGAAAAATTGATTTGTTTCTTCATTTTTAGGTGAAGAAGGTCGTAATGTTCGGCTTCGTGATGATTTGGTAATGGTGCGACGAAATGCGTCTGGATAACTAAAGTTTTTCTCTCGATACTATGTGCTATCCACCTTTAATGACTATTCTAGTTATTTCTGGGTACAGATAGGTTCACAGCAGAAGCTCATCAAACGTCTGTGGCGGCTGTGAATGCTTGTTGCTGGTGGCAGAGAAATGATGGATTCCTGTTTAGTCTAGTTTGGTAGAGCTTTAACCACATTCGGAAACCTTTTCTTTGGGTTTCCGAAGAGATATTCGAGGTTTAGCTATAATTGGTACTATGGGCTTCCGAGACCTCGGAAACCCTTCTTCGGAAACCCTTAAAGGATTTCCTATAGTAACAAACTCGGAAACCCTCTAAGGGTTTTCGAGAATACCTATTTTTTTTAGAGTGTAGAATCAGTTCAACAGTATATTTATATTCAACTAATTGATTCAATTGATTTCCTGTTTAAAAATACTGTTCAAAACAATTTAAGCCTCGAAATTTTGCCGAAAATTGTGTGAAAAAAAAGAAAAAATATTTATAGTAAGTGTCTGAATGTCCAGATGTATTTGACCTCTCCCATCCCATCCCATCCCTTTCTTCCCTGTCCAGAATTATCCAGTTTTGACGGACTCCCATCCCTTCCCTCTTTTGGACATCCTTTTATGGAACACTCCTCACAACATCAAAATAATACAAAAATATTTTTGGAAGTATTTGGTTTTTTAATCATATTTTTGATGTTCACGATATATCATATGAATTTATCATTGTCAACAAATAAAGTTAACGAAAATAGTGAGTATAAAACAAAGTCATTTTCTCACATAATATTATAACTTGAATTATTTTCAGACATCGATGTTACATTAATGCACGCCAATAGAAAAGGTACAACGTATTATAATAATAATAATAATAACAATTTTAAAAGCAATATAATACAAGTTGAAAAAAATGTGTTTCGTCAAAATGAATTAACAATGAAATTAAATGATGATGAAGAACAATACAATGATGATGAGGATGAAGAACAATACAATGATGATGAGGATGAAGAACAATACAATGATGATGGTTAAAAAGAACAATATAAAGAAAAAAAAAAGAAACATTTCTGAATGATGTATGTGGGCACTGTTCATTTTTAAGTCGTGCTCGCAATTTTTTTTGTTGTTGTTGTCTTTTTCTGTGTACTAATTTATGTGTTCATCTGCATTAATTTGATTATCTTTCATTTTTTTTGCTATATGAAAAAATAAAAAAATAATTATATTAGATGAACAACATCTAAAGTATCTGTTACAAATATTTCGTCGGTGTCTGTACGAGTCTTCAGTTCATCCACATTCAAAAATTGCTTCTTTTCTTTTTCCTTTTTTTTTTATTGGATTCCATACTTTTTAGACATTCTGCAATTCAATTTTCATTGAGAAAAAGGAATACAAAAAAATGGCAAAATCATCAATTATTGCTAAACCCCTCTCCGTATTAGTAGACTCCAAGTCTCTCATTATGTCCAAGCGTACAAACTTTCCAGAAAGATCTTCTAATGCGACTTTTAGGTGAAATTTTTGGAAACGTTTTGTTTTACCTTTCGGATTCTAGTTTTCGCAGCAAAGTAGCGTAGGAAACGCTTAATTATGAGAGAAAATAGTTATCAATAATGATGCGCATGTGTTATGGACACCTTTGCAGTCGTTTTTCCTAGTGACAGGAAAGTGGTAATTCTCTTGTCAGATTTGTATCATGGTGTGAAGTGTTGACTCCTCATGGATATATCAATGCCAATAGAAGCACTCAAAAATCAATTTAAGTATATAAAAACTGATCTCTGTTCTCCCATATTTGTATTCGTAATGGATGCCAGTTGCTTCTAAAAACCGAGAAAAAACAAAATATTTCTAGGGTATTTTTTGATTTTTTGAGCTGGGGTCAAAAATGACCCCGGCTGGTAGTACTAGGGTTAAGAAAAACTAGTTTTTAAATGTGCTGCAGAAAAATAAAATAGATGACAGTCAATAAACATAGCTTCTCGATATTTGTCTAGTAAATGAGATGATATCCAATAATATGTTAAAATATATAATCATACAAGACAATGGACAATTAATTATAGTATTTTGAGAATAAAACCAGAGATCTAATTTAATGTTTATTTATGGTCTAAACTATTATACACAATAAATGAGCATATTGTTATGTTGAGAGAGTTTAATTGACAGCTAGAAGAAAGTCATTGAGAAAACGATGAAGCAACATCCGAAATTATTTCGACCAGCATCTTGAGAGTGAATTTTCGTGTTGAATGTCAAATCTAACTCAATATTACAAAGAAGTTTTATACTACGGCGATTGATGTCAACTAGTTTTTTTGTAATTAATCCCTGTCGTTCGAAAACTAGAAGCTTATCAATTCCTTTCCACATTTAAAAAAATATTTTCGTTTTTCAAATAAACGAGTCTGTTCATTGCTCATTTGAAATCCAATCAAAAATAAATTCTATGGTATAATATGAATGATAAAACTACGAAATTATCAATAAATATGAATTCGTTTTCTCGAATACACCTTGCCAATGATTGAGCTCATCTTTTTTTAGAAGATTCAGTTTCAGAGCTGAAAGACGAAATTGACCTTCACTGGATGCCAAAAAGAAAACAATTATGTCAGATTACATAAACAGTGACAGATATCCTTCAGCCGATCATTTTCTCAATAGCTTTGACATTTTTTATACGTTCCAACGGTTTCTCATACATGCGTGACGTTTCTCTTACTAAATAAGTTGCAGAGTAGCTCCTAGGACACTAGACAATAAAAGCACTCAACATTACTCACCCTCTTTAGTCAATCAAGCTGGATTTTATCCTTTGTGGCAAAGGACCCTTCAAAGTTTTTACTCACAAGAAAACCGTCAATAGACACCGTTTTGAATTAGCATTATTGACCTCAATAAAAAAAATACTACGGATAGAAAGTATTCTCCTGTCATCTCAGCCATTCCTAAGACTACAAGTCTGAAATTCCTAGCATATGTACTACCTTAGAAATGTAAGCTAACGAGACCAGTATTGGTCTCAATCGCTCAAGTTGAAGAGGACTTATGATTATTGATAGCTTTTCTCAATATGAGTTCTATAAGCCACAAATGGAAGGAGCTTACATTCTGATTAACCTATCATTATGTGAAAAATCCGCAGCTTCTGAAAGCTTAGATAAAACTCCATGAAATTTATACTGCAAATAGAAACATTAAAGGACTATATGATGATAGATTCGCCAAGTCCTTAGGATTCTTCCTTTCTTGAGTTATAGGACTCATAATGAAAAGGACTGCCACAGATCATCACTTCTTGTCAGCTCAAGTAAGTAAGACTGAATCATTTTCATTGACCTACATTTCGAAGGTAGTAATTACGCTAAAAACTTCACATGTCTAGCCTTAAGAGTGACTGAAATGGCAGAATGCAATACTTTTGACCAATAATGTATTTCTTTAATGAGCTGAATAGTGCTAGTTTTACAGAGTATCTACTTGATAGGTTCCTTATGAATAATAACTCCGAGAAGTCCTCTATCACTGAGAAAAATCAGGCCCATTGATTGAAACAGACTACACATATGAGTTCTTTTAGCGTGTATTTATTTATCCTTGCTCTCAGTCAACAAAAGAGTCTTGATTGTGTTGTCACACAAAATCATAACTTTTTTAAAGTTCTGCTGATTTGTTTTTCATTCTTGACAATTATTGTGAATCATTATTTCGAATCTTACTTTGACTGAAGTGACTGAAAAGAGTACTTGTATAATATACATGAAAAGAAAATATTTCTGAAGCATTAATCTTCCATATCTCTAAAGAATTTTAGAAATGCTCATCATCAGTATCTTTCTGCTCTCACTTCACTTATTGGAAGAAGCGCAACATGCATAAATGCAAAGAGGCAGAGTGGACCATATCATGAAATCTACCGTCTGGCTTTCAGAATATGCTCATTTGATAAACACCGAACACTTTTCTGTTCACTAGAAGATAATCATTATTTTCCCTTCATCACCATATTATTTCAATAATGTTTTAACAAGTCTATTAAAAATATACAGCTAAATGTTTATTGTTCAACTTAAGTGCATTCAGATGTTGTGCTCCTGTGTCTCCAATTTTATTATCACTGAGATTGAGATATGTCAGTGTCTGTATTTAACAAGAACCAACAACATTAGAAACAAGAAAAGACAATCTTACTTACCTTGTCGTTTCGCAATGCTTCAGCTAAATATTTCGCTCCATTTCCTCCGATTTCATTAAGCTCGAGATGCAATTTTGCCAGTGTCTTCAGTTATTAACAAATACCTTACAAGAATAAATGCAAAAACATTTTTGTCAACCTGATTATTTCTCAATGCATCAGCCAAATGTTTTATTCCTTCATCTCCAATATGATTGCGAGATAGTACGACTTTTTTCAGTGTCTATATGAAAAAACAGTAACAATTAAAAAAAGAAGGGAAAATGAATGCTTTAACTTTGTTGTGCTGCAATACATCCGCCATATATTGTGCTCCCTTGTCTCTAATATGATTTTCCCCCAGATTTAGTGTGAGAAGTGTCTGTAACAAAACAGAAATATCAATATCAGATTGAAAAAACTAGCTATTTTGTCTTACGGCATTGTCTCGTAAAACATTGGCAAGATGTTGTATCCCTTGTTCTCCAATTTGATTTGAGTAAAGACTGAGGCTAGTCAGCGTCTGAAAGTATTATAAAATACAACCATATAAGAAACAAGAAAATACAGTTTACTGACTGTGTTATTTCGTAATGCATTAGAGACAAGTTGTATGCCGGCATCGCCTATTTCATTTCCTTGGAGGTTAAGTTCTTTGAGTGTCTGTGTAAAATAGAAGTATTGTTGTCAGAGTGATTATAGGGATGAGTCTCTTGTACCTGATTTTGTTGTGATACTTCGATGAGATATTGAGCACCTTTTCCTCCTATTTTATCAACCGCAACATCGAGGTTTTTCAGTGTCTGTATTGAACGAAAAATAGTAAAATTACAAATAAGAAAAGGTGATCTTACTCGTTTTGTTATCTCACGATGCATTAGCTAAATATATTTTGGTTCATTTTCTCCAATATTCTTATTTCCGACAGAAATGTTCTTAAGCGGACTTCCTCTTGCCTGACTCAAAATTTTCAGATTTTCCATTTTGGTTTGTTTCTATTCTACATACGCTTTGAAGCATCTTCTATACGTTGTACATACTTCAAGGCTTGATATACAGTAATACACATCAACAAATGTGAGGAGATGGAAAATTTTTGCTAAAATACTTCAAAATTTTTACGGTATTCTGCTCTACCTCAAGCGTGAGTTTTTGATGCAAAAATGGAGAATAATGCTATTTTATAAAGTATAGTGGGTTGGATCAAGTTGATATTGTGTCCAGCTAATACTAAAAATAGCCTATGGTGATTCCTTCTCATTCTTGTAAAATATGAAAATCTCTAGGCAAAAAATGATGCACTTGTTGGCATGCTGTCAGGATCTTGGTATTATTATTCTAATACAAGGAGATACAAAGGAACTAAAGAACGTTCGCAGCCTACACAGTGTCTAGTATTTGTAGAAAATTTTTCAGCTGTATGAGATATATTACGCCTGATAAAGGAAGATGATAAGGGATCATTTTTACTTGAGTTGTTTAATTGGACCTTCAATGTAGATGAAGTTTCATCTCAATGGTATCACTTCAAATGTAAAGAGGATAAATTGAACGCTCACTTTCTTGAAGAAGAATCGAAAAGTTAGGAAAAGAATTTTTCACAATTATAAATAGTAATTCATAAAAAGACTTTCCTATAACTCTGGCGGAGAAGCAGCAAATAAATTTTCATCCGAATAAGAACTAATGTTTTCTTTCCAGGATTTTCGATCATCCATATTAGGATATCAAAACCAGACTCATTAGAATGCAAGGTATTACAAAGTCAACATCGGCAGAGCAAAACCGAGGACGAAAACATTTTTCCAGAACACAGGTTCCAGAGTGAGGATGAAGATAAAAGGCATAACACAGGGATTATTGCTACAGTGAAGATGAGGCAGAAGGAATGATGTATGATGCATCGTCAAGTTAGCAGTAAAGTCAGGATATATTTCAGAATGATTTTCATCAAATATAGACTCACAGCACACTCATTGTGACTTATTTTGTCTATTGCTTCCATTACAGGCATTACAAAGATTAACTGCTTAATTCTCATTATGAACTTCAAATTTATTATGAGAAAAAACTGAATGGGTAGTGCACGACAAGGTTTGAAATGAACTGAATATCTGCAACCTTGTTCAGAGTGTAAAGTCAAAATCTTTGGGGATGAATTCGATAATGGGAGCAAAGATGTTCTAGTTCGAGGTCACGAAGAAACCGTTTCAAGTGATAAATCATTTCTGAGTGTGCGCTTTATACATTTGATGGACTTCAATGAAGTATGGAAAGCTCAAAAATGGTAAGTACCCTTCGACATTCATTTCAAAGTTACAGCCATTTTACTGAAATCTAAGGCTATACAACGTATGTACCACGAAATCGAATGATCGTATTTCAATTTGAAATTTCGTTCACGGGCAGGGTATTTTTGACTAAAATGCACTGAAAATTTTTAGTTTAACAGAATGTTCGCTTCGCTAGATATTGAATTTTCAAAGTCCACTCGTATTCCACGAAATGTGCCAAAATCTCAGAATCTGTGGATATTCAATATCTCGAGAAGAAAACATTCCTTTGAGCTGACATTCTCAGAGCATCGTAGCCACAAGGAGTCTGTCTGTAGACAAGATTTCAGATCGAAATATCATCATTCGATTTGCTGCTACATATCGCGCCATAGCCTAGAATTCCAGTCAAATGGCGATAACTCGAGAAGGTTCTAATGGCATTTATCCATTTCAGACTTTTCACATTTCGTTGAAGTATACTTTATGCTTAGAGTGCGAACTCAAAAACAATTAATCATTTGAAATGATTTCTTCGTCGGTAAACATGTTTCGAGACGACATTTCATTACTTTGACACTTCGATAATGCCTGGATAGTTCAATCCATTTCTTCTATAGCACACTGTCACCAAGTTTTGTGTATGATGATGTGATACCCATACAGATTATTTTATCTCATTCACATTTACTTTTTCCACAGTAATATTCTTCTTCAATTATGATTAAGATTGAGATACATATCTATTTTCTGCCTTTCTGCCACAGTTATCGGAAAGTTCTTTTCCCTATGATAATTTCTCATTATGATAAATTGTTGCTCTGCGTTTGTGTCGTCGTATAAGAAAAGCCTCATTTTGGTTAGAGTGTATAATTGACTTGAAATTTTATCTTTTGCTTGTACCTATTGGGATCCTTAAATGATTTCGAAAATTTCATTCATATTTCGACTGAAATTAAGTAGCCATTTCATTTTCAGTTCTTGCGACTTCAGCATCTTCCACAGGATAGCATGGGGAAATGTAAGCCTTCGTTTCCCACGTCTAATCTAGCATATGTTCTACGATATATTGCATTTATTTGAAAAATAAACAAAGTCTTTTCATGGTAAATGTTATGTTTGAATTGTTGGTTTGGAATGTATAATAAATTAGCTTTAATTTGATATAGAATTAATCAATAGAAGCTATATAGTTCAAGAGAAGGAAATCTTTTAAAAGGTATGCATGGATACTACCCCGAATAGGGGGATTTAGTCTATGACAGCTTTTGCTATACTCATCAACAATTATTTGTCATAGAGTTTTCAAATTTTCCCCAAGAGCCGTTCTCTAGTAACACGAGAAAATGGAATTCCCTTAAATGTTTTCATGGAACAAGAACCGAGAAAAATGACAAGCAAGAAAAGACAATTTTACTCACCTTGTTATCTCGCAATGCCTCAGCTAAATATTTCGCTCCGTTTTCTCCGATTTCATTTATTCCAAGACCCAAGTTTATCAGTGTCTTCACAAATCAACAAGTACTTCATTAAAATAAGTGCAAAAACAGTTTTCTTCACCTGATTATTTCTCAATGCATCAGCCAAATGTTTTATTCCTTCATCTCCAATATTATTGTCATCTAAGCTGATATCTTTCAGTGTCTATACAAAAAAACAATATTATCTTAAAAAAAAGAAGGAAATGAATGCTTTAACTTTGTTGTGCCGTAATACATTAGCCATATATTGTGCTCCTTTATCTCCAATATGATTGTGTGACAGACTCAGCGTGAGAAGTGTCTATTAAAAAAAGAAATATGAATTTGAGACAGAGAAAAGAGCTATTTTGTCTTACGACATTGTCTCGTAAAGCATTAGCAAGATGTTGTGCTCCTTGTTCTCCGATTTGATTGTTAAAAAGATTGATAGTTTTGATTGTCTATACGACACAAGGTTTATTCAAAAGCTTGTGTCTTCTTCATAAACAGCTGACTTTCTTGCTTACGGTGGATGATAGATACGAAAGATTCAACATTTTCTGTTTATTATTACGGGTTTAATAAGTTCTCGTTTCGTGTAAGAATAGAAGCCTAACGAGCTTTTAATCGATATTAACAATCAAGAGCTTGCAGATGGATTTCCATTACGACTAAGTTTTCGTGTGTTATGTCAAGAATTTCACGAGCTCACAGCCAAAGAAGTGCTCTCAGGAATTGAGAAATCGAAGTTTTCATATTATCTAATAGGTTACAGAACTACGTTATTTGTGTGTGAGGAAAGTATATAGATTGACTGTAACTTTTTCCCGGTTGCGTACTATCTAATGAACAAAGTAATGAGTTCTTTAATCCATTTTTCACATCTGTGTCCTTATTTGTCCTCAATACTTTGTGAACTTCGACACGAACACAAGAGATCGTAGTTAATATACTATATTATTTTGAGAAATTTTCAAGGTTTCCAGAGATTAAGCAGGAATTTCAGTTAGATATGTATGAATGCGATTTTGTCGAATGACTTCATTGTAGCAATTTATGTACAGTTCAGAAACGAAACAAGATATATTCTATCTTGACATAAATATAAAGTCTTTGACTAAATACAATGAGTCTCCCATTCCTCTAATATGGACAGATCGGATGTTATGAATGTTATAATTATTAATTTTGAGCTATCTCACACTGGCTTTTTTCTAAGTCCAATAAATTCTCAAGTAATATATGACGCAAAAATAATGGGACAAATGTCGAACCCTATTTCTCTTCAATAGAAATGTGCTGAAAGCCAAACTTTATGTACCAGAAGATAGAAAATTTTTTCTCTTTCAGATCGTATATAACATATTTTTACCATATGTTCACAAATGAAATGTCGCAACAGAAAAAAAGAATCATCCTCAAAATGGATTCTTAGTTTTCACATAATGTAGAATAACGATACAAAATATCAAGTCCTATATTTCATTAATATATACGTGTTGGAACACTAATTATGTTTATCATGTGATAGAAAATTTTGTCCTCTTTCGAATTGTGTATAGTTTAATTTTGTTATATATTCATAAACCAAATGATAGGAGAAGAAAGAGAAACACTTGCACAACGAATTTGTAATTTTTATATTGATTTATCCGATAAATCGTGTAAAACAACTGAAATCATTATGCTAAAAATCATTGTTCTTGGAACGCTTTCTTTGTAAAATAACTAACTGTCATTTTAAACAATTTATTTGATGAATCAATATAAAAATTACAAATTCGTTGTGCAAGTGTTTCTCTTTCTTCTCTTATCATTTGGTTTATAAATATATAACGAAATTAAGCTATACACAATTCGGAAGAGGAAAAAATTTTCTATCACATGATAAACATACTTATTGCGCCAACACGTGTTCACTAATGAAATATAGAACTTGATATTTTGTATCGTTATTCTACGTTCTATGAAAAGAATAAACCCATTATAAGGGTGCTTTTTTGTCCTGTTGCAACGTTTCACTTATGAACATGTGAAAAAAACGAGTTATATGCAATGCAAAAGAGCAAAATACTCTCTATCTTTCGGCACATAAAGCTTCCTTTCAGCACTTTTCTATTAAAGAGAAACAGGATTCAACATTTGTCCCATTATATTTGCATCGTATACTCTGTTGAATTGACCATTGTTCAGGTTTATGATATATCTCATTTTCCAACCAAGATTTTACCATTATTTCTGTCGAGTTGAAAAGGATTAACATCGTTTCGTTTCTCAGTTACGCATAATCTCATAACAGGAACAAACATAACAGACAGATAATATTTTATGCCTAACTTCTGTACTTCAATTCTAGAATATTGTTTTAGATGGTGCGTGTGCATACACATTTTTTCTAGCTTATGAAAAAAGTTCGTTAGTCCGTTGATAGAAAGTATATACAATAAAAAAGAAATTAGACGCATAAGCACAGCTATAGTTAAACATCGAGAAACAATGAGCTAATCTATCCAATAGTTTACGGTGTTTAATTAGTGTTAATGTGTGACAGAGTGGGCTTTTATCATGCCGAAAAATTGTAATTTTGGAACTAGACTCTCCTTATCAGGTATGATTTTATTCAGTAGCAGGATTACTGGAAATTCTTTCATCTCGAGATATGCTACTAGAGAAGTTACGGTTTTTCGTGTCTTAAAAACGAATGAAAAAACACCGAAATATGTAAAAACTAAAATAGTCATATTGTAAAGGATTAAATCGAAAGATTAATTAGAAGTCTTTATTTAGTCTATCAGACTGTCTCGAACTCTGATGAGGTTTATAGAAATCGATAAATGGTACTGTGATGTCATCACCATTTTTTAAATGCTATTTATCCATCATGTCCAACAAAAAGTGCTTACATGCCATATATAAAATATACACTGAAAAGACAGACAGTGAATGCCAGGAGCAAAATAGAAAGATCAAGAACAACTAGTAGAGCGACAATTATACTATCAATCTAATATATAAATGAAAATAAACGAAGGAGCTAGGACAGTCAAGAGCATTTACAGACTATTATCTTTTATTATTGTATTTAGATTTGAAATTAGCTATTTTACGCATTGTTTATAAATACAAATATTGTTTTCTTGCTTTCAGGTCCTGACGAAAAATAACTTCTTCATAAATATCAGCCAATATATTTCTACTTTAGTAGCAGAGCTAAGAATAGAATAATTTACAGACTAAAAGCTAAAGTTTGAAGACATTTGCATCAGCAGTAAAAAAGAAAATAAGAACTTGTTTAGAGAATCCAAAACTTCTGAATCACTTTTTTTGAATGTCAAGTCATCCTATAAAAACTAACTTTCGTCGTGCTTTTATTAGTAATGTTTCACTGTCGACATCTTCCAATTTGTTTTCACTACTATAGATCCAATTGTTTCACGAGACAAAACAATGTTCTATCATTTGTTTTGGATAATTTCAGATATATAAATATGTTCACTGAACAAGATGTATCTAACCAGTATGATTTTTGTGATGAAAATTGCAATTCAAATTCTCTTATAGAGAACAAGAGCGAATATTTGGACCTAGGAGCGCAAGAAGTTTTAACATAAAATTAGTAAAGCATTTAAGAATATTTTATCGGTGCGATGAACAAAGAAACATAAGCAAGCATTTCTTTAGCAGCTCAAAATACGAGTGATATATGAATAAATTTGAACCCAGGAAACTCTAGGATTTTCTAGATTCTATATTTTCCCAATAATTAAAAATTGATGTACTCATCAAGTTGTGAGAATATAAGAACAGCTAAGCATGCTATTCTATTCTTTCTCTTAATAGTATTAAAAATATTGTTTTACCTGGTTGTTGCGCAGAGCATAATAGGCCACAATTTCCATATCTTCATCAGTCAACTTCTTCGATAACAATCTCAACTCTGAGCTATCTTTATTATCAGCAATGATTCGTTCAAGTTCATGATTATGATACTGAGGTGGTGATGAAGTCGGAGCTGATACTTTTACCAATGATGGTGTCATATTTTCCACTGGAGGTATCGGTTTTGATGTGGCAACTGTTGACCGTGGTGATGTATGTGTTTTTTTTGATGCTGATAAAGTCGGCACTAGAGTATAGAAACAAATGGTTGATATGGATTCATTAATGAAAATGAACCTTGACTCATCTTCGATTCTAAAAATATGTCATAATATAAATATTCAATTAAGAATCGAACAGAAATTCTATCTCGATTTCAATATTAAATGCTCTTCAGCAATGAAAGAAGTTGCTGTAGTATTTTTATAGAAAAAAACGCAGTGAAATGTACTCTTGACAATGACATTGTCGTGTTCCAGCTACAGTCATCGAATAAAGAAACTAAAAAACAAGCTTGAAGGTATTTTTCAGATAAAAGTACAACTCACTATTAATCTTCGAAGATAAGAAAAAATGTTTCTTTATAATGAATTGTTTTGCCTTTGCGAAATACTGAAGTTTTAAGTCGATGATTTTTTCTAGAGTACGACTGAAATTGGATTGAGTTGCAATGTGCTAATGTTCACATAACACTAAAATAGTACATTTACAAAGAATTATTTTTATGTTCAAAGGTAACTGATTTGTTATATTTGTATGCAAGAAATCATTCTCATTAAATATCTAACGGTATCAATAAAACAGTCGTTTTTACTTAGGAAACATCTATTATACAAACTGAGATAAGGTCTCTTGGTAACACTTTAAGTGATAGTCATATGCATTACACTAGAGAATAATACTGTAGACATTTATGACCTTTGTCTAATGATTTCAATGAAACTAATTTGATACTGGAGTTCTTCTACAGCAAGTGCTACGTAGATTTTTTTATGTGATCTTACTAGTAGAAGGTTGGTTGTTCGGGAGAGTAACGATCGACACTGGTTGCAGGAGTGGGTGAGGTGGTTGAGTTTCTTTGAGTTGAATTATGTGAAGATCACTTTGATCAAGACAACCGATAACTTTAAATTGAGTTGCAGCAAGCAAAAGAATTTCATCTTCTGATGGAAAAAAAGAATGATTTCGAATATCTTTTCCAGATTCGCATTCGATGTGAAACATTGTTCTCGTTCCTTTCTTGCCCAAAAATTGTTCTGATTGTAAAACATTTAATGAAGTAGTGCATGATGAAAATCCCCACCATACAACTGTTTTTCCCATAATGTATGATTTGCTCAAATTTAATTTAACCCCTCGATAAATAGTTCGACTAATTGATGGAAGACGAAAAAGTCCATTCAGAAATAGTCTTAAATAGAGTAACCAAGGATTCAATTTTCGTCGATCTGGTGATCGTAGAGTACTATTCAACACAAAGTAAAGACATTCATCAAGTGGTTCCCATCCCATAGAATAAAGCATGATAGCAGCTGATTCATCTTGTGTAAGTCCATCAGCAGGTTCTTCACATCTTTGCTTAGCTACATAAGCAAAACTTTGAATATTTGGTAGAAAATTAACAAGTTCTTCAATAGCTATTTCGAGTGGAACAAGCGGTAATTTTTCATAACCACAAATTGGTAAAAGATATTGATGTGGTTCTTGAGCAACGTCTGTTACACGGCGAATACGCTGTGCTAGATTATCGTCTCCTGCAGTCGCCATATAGAGTAGTAAATGATTGTGTTAAATATAAGAATATGAAATTCTGAAAAAAAAATCAAGAGCCAAGTATTATTGTGTTTATTTCATTTCGATGAATCAATAGTTATCAAATTTTCTATCTTAAGACTTGTAGAACTTGAAATATTCTCTTTAAAGTATATATATTCATGAACTATATGATTCTTTTAGGTGATTGAAATACAAACATTCGAGAGTAAGGACTTACTGTCGGCAGCAGTTCTCTGCAGCCCGTATTGTGTGTAGAGAAAATTTATATTCGTCGTCAAACTGAAATAATGAATGAATAAGTGAATGTTATTCATCGAAAAAGCTTCTCTATTCAAATGAAAATTTTCTTCGACGATATTTCTTTCTCAATTGTCGATGCATGTTTTTTTGTTGACACTCAAAGAGACTCTCTGGCCTTAATAGATAAGGAAAACAAAGTTTTGCATCCACTATTGTCAGCGCTCTCTTGTTTGTCTCGATACGCAGTCAGTGTCAAAGCGTGATTGCATTCAGTCAACAAATGTCTTGTGAAAAAAATCTACCATTTTCTTTTCTAACGAAATGATTTTACAGTTTATTCCTCTTCACATTATTGCTCGATCATGCGGTGTATTATAATGAAACAGTGAAAAAACAAAGATTCGATTGCTAGAGTAAAACATTCGAACAATAATGTTTTCATGAAGAAACAAAATTGTAAACGAGGTGTTTCGATCTAAAAAGCGGAATCGGTACAATTGAGTTTCAATCAATGATCTGCTAAATAAGAATGGTGTGCGGCTATTGTCTTTTCTTTACCCACGCCCATATTGTGTGTAAACGAATGACTGAGTATTTTTTAGAGGCAGATGTAGAGAAATTTGTTTGTCTCACTAGATATAGATTGTTTCTTTCTTTTGTTGACATATTTTTCTATCGATTTTTATGGGAGTGTTTTTTTGTTGCTGATGGACTTTTCATCATTCATTTTAGGAGTGCTCGCGAAGCGAGTCTACATCAAAGAACAACAACAAAACGAATGCACCGTTATTATTGCCAACCTTTTCTTCTCACACAGTAGCGAGTATGGGCAGCTAGAAGCCCGTGTTTGAAATCAATAAGGTTTGAAAAACAAAGACATTCATTCTGGCGACATGCTTTTTAAACGAGCGAACAATGATTTATTTCAAAAGTGCTACTTTGTCTGATCATTGATTGACTCTCTGTTTTGCTTATGAATTTCATGCTATTGAAATTAATCCGATGAGAAAAACCCGATAGGAGAATGTTAATAACATGTAGTGAGTGAAATAGATGATATTAAACAACATAAGTTACTTATTAATCCTTGCTCTCACTCGCATACCCATCCTTATTATTATTGTATCACACTTTCAAATAGACAATTTAATAGATATAAATTAATCTTTCTGTATAAGTTCAACTAAAAGACTTGAACGAAAAAATAAGATACATATCCATGTTATTAGATGTGATCTTCTGTTTCAAGAACTTTCTTTAATCTACTTTTGTAAGTAGCAGATATAGAATTATGATGACTGAAATTCGATAACGAAATACTGCTCTGGTGCATCAATTTGTCGACCAGTTCGCATCTATACATCATTGCAAAATGTAACATAATTAGACATGATCATTTAACACCTACTGATAATACGTTATCAGTAACTAATTCCGATGCAATAATCATGTCCATATCCATGCCATAAATTCGAAGAAAAAGCAGAAGTAGAATGTGTACGAACAGAGTGAATATTGCATGATAAAGTTGATTGTATCTCATTACTTATTACATTTATACCCAAAGGTAAATCAGCAATTCTAATAAAAATAAAACATGTTCCGATGACGAAATGTAGGGCGTCGGATGTGAGTGAATAGAAAGTTGTACTACATGTTTCTATTTTCATTTTCTTTGAAAATTTCTTAACACTTTAACCAGCGTCATCTGTTGATATATTAGATTAAGATATACTATTTGAAGAGTAAATACTGATGGTTAATAATACAAATTTCCAATAATTTTTTTTATAGAACAATGAAAATAAAAATGAATTCTTCAGTAAGTGATCATTCTGATAAAATAACATTTCAAATCATATTTTCAACAAGAAAATACGTACTAACTGATTATGATCATTCGATTTAAAATTAAAACAAAACTTCGAAAGAAATATTTCCATCAACCATTAAAAACGTTAAAAATCTGCTATTTTGTTTGTCTAAAAAATAAATTCTTTTTACTTATTTTAGTATTTAATAATCATAACTGATACTCCGTTCGAATATTCTTCTCAATCATCATTTACTCATCCTTGTAAACAAATGATTAGTAAGAATAAAGTTAATATTAATATATCATTAAAGCCAAAACTATCAATTAAATTCAATAATTCATTATCTGGAGTTGATATTCTTAATAAAAAAATAAAGGGAGAACTTTCAAATGATTCAGGAATTTTAATTGATCAACATCAAAGTTCATCATCGAAAAATCGAAGTTTTTCACCATCTTTTGATAAAATAATTATAAATTCTAATGATCAAAATTTAACAACTTCACAGAAACACAAACAACGAAAACGAAATCATCAAATTCGAAAACAACAAGAACGAAAACAACTTATTTATGAAAAAGAATTAATTCATAAAAACCAATCATCATTACTATTTTCTCAACAACAAAAACAACATCATTTATTATCGAAACAGAATG